ATGTGTATGTACACACACACACACACACACACACACACACACACACACACACAATGTACAGCGAATAAAAAAATTCAACGGAAAAGATTATATCTACAAGGGACCATCTCGGTTTGTACAATAAATTAGTGAAAATCCTTAATATCAGTAAAAGTTGACAGCATAAAATGTAAATTAAGAAAAAAGGCAACATCGTATAAATCATAAATTCCAAGAAATTTAATGCCGGCGATACTATAACGTTCAAATGTCATAACTTGAAAAGTTCTTATGAAGAAAAGATTTATTACCGTAGTGCTCTGGAAATGTCTCAACATTAGCTATAAAGATGTGCTGAAAAATAGAAAATTTAAAATTTTTGTATTGACCTTGAAACTTTCCAAGGTCATTCCAAGATCAAATTAAAATCAAATTAATATTATCTGATTACTTTTTAAAAATCCTATTACTTTTAAATATTTTTAATATTTATTTTTAAATATTTTATATTTTAAATATTTTTTTTAGATAAATCTATATTTTATTTTTTGAGATATTAGCTATTTCAGAACTTTTAACACTATAATACTAAATTTTTTGGAACCTGTACAGTCTTGCCTTTTTTTTTAATTTACATGTTATGCAAATCTTATGTTGTTTTTTAATTTACATCTTTTTACTGATATCAAGGATTTTTACTAACTTGTATAAACCAAGATGGTCCCTTCTTTGGCATCTGATTATTTTCTGTCAACAAAAGAGACAAAAATTATGTAATTATCCAATAGAGACAGCTAAAATAAGTAAATTGTAATGAAGATTATTTTCGATAATACTTTTATATAGTTACTTATTTAACAGTCTTGTCATTATCAATCCGGTCGATGAAATAGAATTGCTCCACATCCGTTATCACGTTAAAGTTACACAAAAAACCACTGAAAAAAAAGCACTGAAATCTATATGGTAGCAATAAAATTCTGTTCTTCTCTTGATCGAAGAAAATTTATTTTGCGATAAAAATTCGAAAATGGACAGTCAGTTAGCAATGACAGTAATTGGCAAAATTATCGAAACCGCGCGGATGCAATGATGTTTATATATCGCGGGACTATTTAGGTGATAGTTAAATTGTTCGTTAACCACAAGAGAGTAACGTATTTTTGTGATATTCGTTAGACTATTCGAATGATAGTTTCGAATGTTGCCAAGGATCTGATTTAGCCTAAGGCTGACTACTTTCATCCTGAAATTTTATGAAATTAGGCGGATTTCCACGAATTGCTCTTATCAAACACTAACGTGTCTAAACAGCTGAGCTTCTCGTCGGAATATGTATCAACATACATTGCACTTCTAGAAAAGTTTTATAAAATTTAAGAAAAAAAGAAAGAGAGAGAGAAAGGAATAATTTGATTTAACATGTTTTTATGTAAAAAAATTTTCAAAAAAAAAATAAATTATAGATAATTATATATGTAATAGTATTGTGAAAAAAATTTTCTTGAAAATTAAAAAAAAATATCAAGCTTTTATCAAGCTCTCTCTCGAAAAACTAATTTTAGATTTATAATTTATATTTTTATTACAGAAAATTAAATCTATTATATTTATA